AACTTCACAATGTCACGACACAGAAGTACGGGAACGAAGCAAGAGCCCCAGAGATTTGAAAAGTGTTGAGATTCCTTGGAGAGAATCTATTCATTCTGAATCATTCCTATAAATTCTCTGACTGCAATAGTCATGCTCTGTCTAGACCCAGCTCAACGCGCATCGTAATCTAGGCAGTCCTTACCACCGACAGCCATGATAGCCGTCTTCCCTCAGACAAGAAAAAGTCGAACTGGTTTACAGACTACACTGCAATGAATACAAACAAATCAGAAGACCTGGCATCAATGCAGACTCCAGAGTGTTCGATTGTTACCGTGTATACGGTGAAAGCGCGAAAGAACTGAAGAGAGGGAGAAGATGGTTCGAGTGTAATTAGTATCTTTCGAAGCCATGAAATTCAGAGCTACCCTAATCAAGAATGATGAATCGTTCGTAAGGCTCCTCCCATGAGACCTCTGCAATAGTCATATCTTCTTCCAGCCACTGGACCCATCTCAGTTCGCTTCACCAACTTTTAGTATCGCAAGGATGCTTCTTAGTCATCGATCACTTTTCCCATCTCCCAGCTCCCAGCAGTCTGAGAAAACGATTAATGTTTGTATGCAGTCCGTAACAAAATTGGGTAACTTACGATAGCATAGCGCAAAGTCGAGTGCCTACTCAACGCGGAGCTTCTTCTCTACCGAGTGCTCGTCGGTGTCGGTGTCGACGCTGAGCGCTCGTTTCTTGGGCTTCTAAAGGAGGACATCGTCCAACAGTTTCACAAGTTGTTCCTCGGGCTTCTCCCCTGCAGATTGGTCGTCATCGAGAGTCTTGACCACGTCTGCGTCCGCGTCTGAGATTTTAGCAGAGACACTACCGGCGTCTTCCGTGCCGTTTCCAGACAGAGCGCTCTCCTCGACTTCAGGGAACATGTACCTGAGTTTTTCGACCAGGATGTTGAAGCCCTTGCCAGATTGAAAGTCGCAGAACTCTTCCATCTTGTTGCAGTAGACAAAAACGAAGGCGACTATAGCCTTGAGCCCATCACTGAACAGATAGACTTGTCCGCTCTCGGTCATCTTCTTGAAGAATGCATTGCCATGGAAAGCTTGGTCTTTGTCACCGATATCGAAGGCCAACCAGGGCTTAGCTATGCCGCCACAGTGAACCCAAAACTCATCTGTGGTGGGGTTGCTCAGTCCTTCGATGTAGGTGCCGATGCACAGCTGTGACTTTCCGTCTGGCAACGACTGGAATTTGAAGGCATCTGGTCGTGGAATTTTTGCCATGGCATTAGGGATCTGCTCCTGGAGCATGTCAAGAAGCTGCTCCTTCCCGTAACGCTTGCACTTCTTGCCCATCTCGATGCTGTAGCTGCCCTTGTTATCAATATGCTATCAATAGCGTCATCAAGAGACAGGACGTACGTGAGGAGACTTAAACATTGTTATCTTGTTTACTGGGGAGACAACACACTTACTGTGACCCTGGTTTGAGAAGGAAGGATGAAGGAGTGTTGGCTGAGTACACTGATAGCTTGGCTTTGATAGAGCTTGTAGGCATAAGCAGTCCACGGGTTACTCAGGTGGCGCTAGCGTCAATATCACCTTGAGGTGAGAGGGTAGCCGTGCGGCACCTGTTGGGGTAAGTAGGGTGACTTACCAACCTCTGACCGCCACATGCACTACGAGATAGTAAAATGAGGCATATGTAAGGTCTCCACGAGAACTCATGGCTGTTTGGTAGGAACGATCAAGTATCACGAGTGTACTGTAGACGTCCTGTTGTCTATCAATGTATCGTACAATACGAGTATATGTCCTTGTGCTCACATACAACCACCATTAGCGATGTGTTGTGCTCATAGAACCTTGCGACTTATATCACGGTCCCTACTTCATCTCTCTAAGCAGCAGTCTCAACGACCGAGAAGAACATTATGAGCACAAGCAGAAATCTTGTACCCATGAAATGGAACCAACAATCAAATGGTATATCTCCCAAAGCTAAAGTACATGACGAATCATACAACAAGCAACCTAAAGCCGCGCCATGTTCCCTCTCTTCCGCATGCTCTTCGCCTTCCCTTCGACAGCACCCACCTCATCACCATCCAACTCCTTTCTATCGAACACCGCATCCTCCCAAAGCTTCTCACCAACCAGATCCGCCAGCGCAAGAACTCTCGTCTGAACTGTTGCTCCATCGCGCCGATTCTTGCCTTCTCTTCGCGAAGCACTGATCCGCTCAGCGAAGCGCCATAATGGGCCATCGGCGATAATGCCACCGTTCGACCCTCTTTGCGGAGTCCACTCCTCTGCTAGTCTGATAGTGGCGGGCGTCTTGTCTTTGGACTTCGTCACAAGAATCATGCCTTCTTCCTGGAAGCGCGTGTACGCATTCTTCAGTGTTTCCTTATTTACAGCCTCGAAGTAAGAAAGGTCGCCCTGGTGGTAGAGAGTCTTGCCGAGAACTTGTGCGCGGTCTTGGACTTTCTTGAGGTCGAGCCAAGAGGATGGAGATGGCGATGTAGCATTGGGGGATGGCAGGGGAGGTGTGAGCATCATCAGACTGATAGCACCGAGCCATGCAGCTTCGATGAACGGCCAGATGAGGAAACAGTAGAAGTCGTAGTTTTCGCGTCCTTGGGTCCGTTCAGCAGGTGATAATTCGATGAAATCCACGGTCTCTTCGCCGAGCTCGGTCTTTGATCTTGACATGGTGATGACACCGTCTTTTTCTAGTCCCTCGAGTGTTTTGGCGAGGTTAGTGTCTAGACCTTCGGTAGGGAATATGAACTCTCCGCGGAAGAGTTGCGAGAGGAAGTGCACCTGTGCACGTAGATCGCCGTAAGACATGCGTTGATACTCTGGGCCACCACCCTGCTTTACATGCGTGTATAGTGCTGCGCTGACCAGACTTTGTAGGATGAAGAGATGAATGGTCATGTTTCTGTAGAAGGAGAGTTGGAACCTATCCACGGCGTAGAATGTGTCTTCTGGTAATCCGGGGACTAGGCCGACAAGCCCAGGTCCCAGAACTTCCAAAGCGCGGTCGACAACAACGCTAGTGGGGAGGTTGCCAAAGTGTGCTACACGGCCACCTTGGGCCCTGACACGGTCGCTAAGCCATTCGACTCGGCGGATGAGTTCTGATTTGCCTACACCACGACCTCTCAATGTTAGTAAGACGGTACCAACGAGAGCAGTGGGCATCACGACCGAGACGTCGTTGATCTCTGACAAAACTTTGTAACCCAGTGTGCGGAGGAGGCGGAGTCGGTCTTCTTTGGTATCGAGTTGTTGAGGAAGTTTTGAGAAGCGTTCGCGTTGCTGAGTGATGAAGGATTTGAGCGACCACGGCTCGTGGAAACGGACGTCAACGCGGCCGAGTTTAAGGGAGAGGACGCTGGAAGCGGACAGGAAGTCCATGAGATTTTCTTTGGGTTTGGGTTGACCGAGGAGTTCGCTGATGTATGAGCTGCGGTGTGTTAGCGTTATCTTCGGTGTCAAGTCTGATCGAAAGACTTACTCAACCTCAATGACCTTATCGTACTGCGTCGATACCGGGCAAATGATTGCATCCTCAACCCTGCCGCTCGCGATACTGTCGAGCATGTAGCTCAGTATGCCGAACTTGGGCGGCAGAAGCTTGCCGGTACGACTCCTCCCTCCTTCTACGAAGCACTCCAGATTGTATCCACATTGCAGCAGGGTATCGATGTAGGATTGTACCAGTGTAATGTACAGCTGATCGTCCCCGAAGCTCCTTCGTATCCACATAGCGCCGGCATGTTGTAGGAAGGACCCGACGACTGGGAAGTTGAGGTTATCTCCAGCCACGACTGTGGGCAAAGCGAGTCCCAGCCGATAGCAGATGATTTGTAGCGAGACGTAGTCTACGTGCGAGCGGTGACACGGAAGGAAGATGATGGAGTGCTTGTCTTTTGCTGCCTTCTCGGCGACAGCGCGCAGGCGTAGCACTTCCTCGCTCGAGACGTGGACGCCCTGGTGGTATGCTCTTGTCAAGAGTTGTGTAGCGAAATAGTATGCACCTCTTATGAAGCCTTTGCTTTCCATCTTGCAGATCATGGAATCCGTCCAGCCCTCGCTGACTTGCATAAGCGATTCCTCAATCTGCACCCTCCTCTTTGCCTTTTTATCTTTCTCGCCGACACCAACCCCATACATCGCATCCTCGCCCAACAGCCCTTCTTTCGCCTCAACCTCTACCCTCTTGTTCGCCAACTCGCGCACTTTGGCGACGAGCATTGGGTTGCTCAACACCCTCGCCTTCATATCCTCGCTAAAGCCCGGGTAAAACTCTGGCTGCCCAATGTGATCGTCGAAAGACCGCCATCCTGTCCCTGAGAAGTGTAGTGAGACTTCGCGAATGAAGTCGAGCGGCGAAGATCGAAAGCGCGCGAAGCTGTGTATGAGGCCGCGGTCGGGCGATTCGTTGTAGCCGGCTGCGTGCAGGTAGACATTGTCGTCGGCCGTGATGCTGAGATCGGGAGCTTGTTCGGGGCTGGAGGGGCGCGCGGTGGAGGACTTCCGGTCCTCGTCTGAGGAGGCCATGCTGATTGGAATGCGGATGTGGGATATGCAAGGAGCGTCTCCTTAGGGAAAGGGTGCGGCGGAAAGCGCGTATCGCATGGGAAGGACGCGTTTAGGAAACGATCTCGGGAGATGGGGTTTTTCGCGTGTTTTAATTTCGTGTCAGTCCACGTTGGCACTGGTACTACGACATGGTGAAGCAGGCATGAAGCGTCGCGACGATGGACGGTGACATCGCAGGCCCACTTCCCCGGTCGCTATGCCTCGGCTTCTTGTGGGGAAGCCACGCCGGCGCACCATCACCTCCGATTCGCTACCCATGAGCACCACCGACTCTGACAATTGCTTGGTAGATTGCTATTAACGTGCCACTTATACTACAATACATCTATCTGTATACATGCGTCATCATGGGTCGGTCATCGTACTCCAAACCCCACGGCAAGGCCAGACAGCAACTCAGAACACCTCCCATAAACTGACTTTCCCGTCCTTGGCTCCTGCAGCGACCCAGTGTTTAAGCTTCGACTGCTCCTCACGGTCTCTTTGCCGCTTGTTGATAGCTCCATCCCCGCATCCTATCTCATCTTGTGCAAGAATCTCACCGAATGCAGTGGAGTAGACTCCTTCCTTGTGCCACTTTAGCACGGCAACTTCCTTGAGCGTCTTGGTGCTGTATATGCGGATCCGTGAGTCCCAACCACCGGTAACCAGAAGCCTGCCATCCGAGCGGACACGGAGCGACTGTTGACCTGCGTGTTTGGTGTCTCTTATTTTGTACGGGGCTTGTAGGCTGACCACTTTCTGGACTGGCGGAGCAGGCTTGAACTTCGGTAGCGGTGCGGCCGACGAAAGCAGTGAAGATAGACCGCTGGGTGCCGCTGTCTTGGAGCTCAGCTGATCACCAGTTTGCTTTGTGAATAGATCTGAAGACGGTACGGGTGGGTTATTGTCTTCTTTACCCGGAATGGATGGCAACTCCGGTATCTGATGCTTGGCTATTACAGCATCTGCCGAGGATGTGTAATAAAAGTCGCCCTCTGGCGAAGCGTCCATCGACAGAATCGGCTGAGAATGGGGTTGACTAAGGTAAACAAGCTGGGCGGTTCCTACGCTCGTGTCGGGGTGTTCGTCAGCCAGCTTGAATGCTGCAGTGACTCCGCCTTCATACCCTGCGAGCAGGATAAGTCTCTGGGGGGCTCTATTGCGAACAAATTTCACGGCCATAACCATGCCTGTTTCGACGGTCCGTATCTGTGGGATCCTGACCTTGAGTAGCTCACCAGGGAAGCTATACACGTCGATCACCTTGTCGTCTGTTGAAGGGACTGCCACAAAGATGGAGTCATCCTCTGCGATAGAGGCTGGAGGATGCTGATAGCCCATGGAGAAAGAGCAGAAGTTGAGAGTGTTGACGGGAAGCGAATGAAGAAGCCACGGTTTGGGCGTGTGTTCTCGGTTCCCATCTTCAGGTAATTTTGATGAAAGCTTCTCTGTCTCGTCTTCGAGTGCAAGTCGCCAGATTCTTATTCTATTGTCTCGTCCATGTCTGTATTCGCGATCTGATGTTAGTAGAGCTCGTCAGGCAGACGTGGGCTAGTCTTAGGGTGATTGGTGGTTTGCTACAGTGACACGCACGTTATGATCTTTGCATCTCCCCATTGGGCGAAGCCTAGGATGGGGCCATCGTGAGCTGGCCAGACAGCAGTTGGCCGCTTCGTCTGAACATTCCAGAGGACGATCCAGCCATCTGCGTCGCCCGTCAACAAACGACTGTTCTGGCGAACAAATAAAGTCGCGTGGATGTGCGAGGCATGGCCGCGGAGAATGGCAGTGGGCTGTGCTGGTGGGAGCGTGGCGGTTTGGCGCTCCAGGGCCATGGGCAAGCTGAGGTGTTAGTTTCGGGCAGGCCGGCACGAGAGACGATCGTCGAGAAGCGATGGTGGGGCCAGTGATGAGCGGTTGATTGTCGGGTATACAACGCGAACGACAGGTACATGCGCGCTTGAAACGGCTGCCTGCTGGGCGTTCCCTTCTCAGACGATGCTTGGTGCTAAGGAGCTGAGATTTAATCGATTGCTGCAGCAGAAGTACGAAACAGCCATGTTGACTGGTATGGGAGAAGAGGATTCGTTTCCTCTCAGCTTAGGAGTACATGTGGAGGCGTCGGCAGGTGTTCCAGGGTGGCAGGTGCTATGACAGTGCAAAGATTGCCGAGACGGACAGGGATCTATTCTGGGTCTTGAGCTTGTTCGCAAAACTCTACAAGATTAGACGAGTGAAGGTGCAGCCAGTCAGCATGCCATGGAGCGTCGAAGCTGCTCGGGCGCAATGCACCTGCACAAGCCGGTTGGGCATCATCTGGATACCTGCAAGATGTGTCTGTCTCTCCAGCAGCGCTGGGGTAGTGCCAAGATGCTGCCTGCGCCACAATGGTAGCTCTTCGCACGAACTGCCACGAGAAAGCTAGTGCGCTGGGCAATAGGGCTCGCTCCAGCAATGATGCACAGCAATCGAGGGTCCGCGGGACGGGAAGAAGAGTTTCCATGCTACGTCGCCGAATGTCACGACGCATCCAAGCCGGCGCGCGCATCATTACCGGGAGGGCGCGCACATCATGGCGTCGCACCCCGGACTGGCGCACACCAAGGCCCAGACGTCTCCCCGAAGGCGCAAGCTGTCCAGCTCTGCCGTCTTTTATCGCGGGATCGTCGTGATACTCGTCCACACGTCCAGACGCTGACGACCGAAAACCCGGACAGCGTCTTGTTTCAGCGTGCAGCTGTCAACGTTACAGGCGCCTCGGTCCCCAGCCCTCGCGTGCACCTGCCCTTGCGACGCTCCCTGCCAGGACGTCCACCATCTCCTATCGTTCGTCATCGCCTGCATGTACGCCAGCCCGCTCAGGTATAATCCAATATTCCGCCTTTCCTCACGACTCGCTGCTGCTACTTGTTTGCTTCTGTCCCGCCAAAAGCACTCCTCATTCCCATGACTTTCCTCGCCCACCCCTCCACCTAGACTGCGCGCGTTCCTGCATATCATCCGCGACCGAACGCCTGCACACGCCCTCTCGACGGCCAATTCACCAAGACCTCCTATCCCTGCGCCCTCTCGACACTTTTGCATTCGCACCACGACGACGGATCTACGCCTTTGTGTTTCTTTCCACTATTGTTCAATCACTGCCATTGCAGCCGCCTTACTACGAATCTTGCGAATCTTACGTTGCTGCGTCGCGTCCCGTCGCAACCCAGCTGTCAGATCACGGCGGTCCTCGACCCACCCCACATCTTCAACCGCGACTACTCGACGATTGACCACCAAATCGAAGTGGAGGGATCGACAGACTTGGCCCACTGCGCGCCCTGTTACGGGGTCGTGATCGCCCTGCCACGGCGAGCGACGGCGCAACGCCTGTCCCCGAGCGAGCGTCAGCATGGCCAACACCGCGACACCACCCTCCAACAATGACTCGCCCACGAGCAAGCCATTGCCCTCGAGAAAGAGAGCCAGCGATGCCACGCCCGACGACAAGCCTAAGAGGACTCGTACCGGCTGCCTGACATGCAGAGAGCGCCATCTCAAGTGCGATGAGACCAAACCGACCTGCAACAACTGCCTCAAGTCCCAGCGCGAGTGCAATTGGGGCAAGAAGCTCAACTTCCTCGACACCACCTGCGAGAGAAATGCATACCTGATCCCCCAAGGCATCGATTATCAGATCGCTTTCATGGACGAGTCACGGACTATTGCTTCGGAATACGTGGGGGGACGAGAAATGTATCCAGTAGAGGACATGGACGCACATGTTCATATGGGAAGCAACGGCTTTGGCATGGGACCGCCAGCTTCGTCGCGCCAGCACATTCCTCCCATCCAGGGCATCGCACAGGAGTCGTACCAGCAAGCGCAACTCACCTACAACTTCGACCAACAGCGGACCCAGCACCAACACGGGCGTTCAAGTAAGTCAACAGTCCATTCCAGCTCTCCGTGCTGACTCTATAGTATCGAGTTTCTCAAACGGCCCAACACCGTCTCCGTACACGATGGAGCATTCGGCCAGTCCCGGACCCCTCCCCACGCGCGACTACCTGAAGAGCCAAGAGGAGGTATTATACATGCAGGTTTTCGTCGAGGAAATCGGCATTTGGATGGACAGCATGGACGCACACAAGCACTTCTCGCGTCTGCTACCCTTCCATGCGCTCAACGAGCCTATGCTGTTACACGCCTTCCTCGCATGTGGTGCACGACATCTTGCCCTTGTTAATCCCAAGTACAGCGAGGAGAAAGCACTCCACTATTACGATGTAGCCACACGCGACCTTCTGCACTCTCTGCAGGACCCCGACCGCGATACCATTCTATGCGCTACCACTGCGGTAATACTCAACGTATACGAAATCATGGGAGAGCGTGCGCTACAACGGATGAACCACATCGCGGGAGCTCGTGCTCTGATCAAAGAGTGCCGCTGGAACGCTAGGTCAACAGGCATCGGAGCCGCCTGTTTCTGGCTGAACGTCGGCATGGAGATACTGAGTTGTCTGCACTTCAACTGGCAGGTCGCTTGGGACCCCGACGAGTGGGGCATCGAGATGGACTTTACACCAGAGACTGAGTCAGGCAAGGAAGAAGTCTGGACCCATCGTATTCTCTATGTCGTTGCAAGGATATGCAACTTCCGTGCATCGATACCGCGCAACCAGGAAGTCGCCAGGCAGACCTTGCAGGAACGGCACAACGAGTGGCTTCGGCTGAAAGACATGACTGACAGGTGGAATGAGAACATACCACGCACCATGCACCCAATGGCATATCTGTACCCCGGACAAACAATATCCGGTTCAGCGTTCCCCGAAGTCTGGCTAATCAAGAGAGCATCGATAATAGCGCGGCTCTTCTACCATACATCCCTTGTCTTGCTCGCGCAGATCAACCCGCTACAGGGCCCTAGCGAACCCGACATGTGGGCCATGCTCGAGCAAAACTCCAAGTTCATCTGCGGTATCAGTGCACACGTCAAAGACCGCGGGGTTGCCAGCGTAGCGCTACGTTCCCTCGCCATCGCAGCTGAACCGCTCACAGACCGACGCGAGCAGGAAGAGGTCCTCCAGATATTTGATAAGATCAGGCAAGAGACGGGTTGGCGTGTAGGCTTCGTCAATACAGAGCTGAAGCAGAAGTGGGGCTGGGATACGCCGCAAACCCAGGACCAGAAGCCACAGCAACAACCTCCGCCTCCGCCACCACCACAGCAGCAGCAGCAGTTGAATGGCCACATACAGGAAGGCAGTGTTGTGTACCAGCAACAGCCTCAGGTCGTCGTTCAGCAGCAGATGCCGCAAGTCTCGGTTGCACCTGCCCCAGTACAGCGGCGGCCGACGGGCTTTGGTAACCCTCTGCTTGTAGCAGACTTCAGCATGCCACAACATCCTTACCAGACGCACTACGTGCCTGCAAACATTGTTCAGCAGCAGCAACCGCACACATTACTTCAGCCGCCACTTACCGCAATGAACGGGTACGGCGGACAGCATTTCTTCTAAGCATCCTCAGCACTGCCTTCTTCCTTCCAGGATTGTATTACCCGACACCTTGTTCTACCACGTTTCTATACACAAAAGGCAGGCGTTTGGATTTTCCGTATCTCTACACGGCATGGGATACTTCTCTAACGATGTCATGAGTAGCATATATGCGATCACTAATAGCAAGACCACAAGGGTGGTGTTTGGAGGCCAAATGGTATAAACGGGACTTTTGTAAATATATACCCTCTGTTTGAGCAACACTTGGTGCAAACTCGCCGTCAGTATCTGGCCTTGTTTGCGTGTACAATTTACCAGCCATTGAATACTCAATTTCTCTATCCCGTTAGCAGATGGCGAGGAGACAGCTTGAACCCCAGGTTCACTCCCTTTCGCAACTGCCGGCCGTATGCATATCTCACTCGCATATCGCTCGAATCATAATCACTAGTACGAAACCCAATCTTCGCTTCGGCAAAGTTCCGTTTGGTGTGATGAAGTAGCTTCATCTGCTAGTCATTGCTAGGCCGCCCGTACCACCTGTCACTCAGCCCTAACACTAGCTGTCTACGCCACACCTGCTAGTAAGATCAATCTCGTCTTTTCTCTCTACATTCGGTAAAAGGGCACTCATATATCAACAAAGTGTTCTATCTAGGGGGTGCGAGGAGAAGTGGGTGGGCTGCGGCCGTACAGTCAATTGTGCACATCGCATTACCCCTTTTCGAGGATAATGCATCACACCCAGTTTGGTGCAGCCGACATTGCAAGTCGAGCCGCCGGATGATCTCCCTGGATTCCTGGAATCCTTCGTGCGCGAATCCCGTCATCTATCGCGCGAGCAAAGAC